TCCTATCAGCCTACCTTTCTGACATGTCTGCCCAATGTGATGTTTGTGTAAAGTTGGTCAGAAGGTTCCTTTGTAAGTGCGCATGCGCCATTAGCGTGCTGCCTGCTGTAACCCTAATTTCCCTCGGGATGAATAAAGTATTCTGATTCTGATTCTGCTGATTATTTTCGCCACATCTACTGGCCATGCATGAAATTAATGAAAGTTTAAAACATTTTTACCAGATGCTGCAGATTAAATCCTAATATTTTGGATTTTGTTGGTGTTATTAAGTATTGAAAATATTGCTTTGGTAACTTGTCAGAACAGGAATTTTTGAACAACAGTTGAAAACTGCTATAGCATAACTGCTATATAAATGACAGAGCTCACTCAGCTCACATTAAATTTACATTTGCAGTCTTGGACTTGATGCTTGATACAAATGGAAATGTTAGATTTCATTGTATGAAACCACTGAAAAATAATTCAGAGCTATATAGTGTCATTGTGAAATGTGATTTTAAATTTATTTATGCACTTAACACTGAGTTACATATTCATACATTAACATGTACAACAACAATAAAAAATGTACAATTATTTAAAAAAGTTTTCTCAGTAACAAAAGTAAACAACTCTGCTATGTGCTTGAAAGTGTGCAGTTTACTTTTTGTATTTTTATTGTGATGTAAATAAGACAAAAATGATCAGTAAAGGACAGACAAACAAAAAAGAGACAAGCAAATTCATCAAATATATTATTATAGTGTAGTCTCATAACTATGTATAGAGCATTATGTGTGTTGATTGAAATGGTAAAATAAATAATTTGATAGTCATGAAAACTTTTTCAACTATATAAAGAATTAAAAATGCTCTCAAATCACAGCCCAGAAGCCTACAGCAGAGCCTAATGCACATTCCAGGATGATTTTCTCCTTGTATGCGGTTAGATTTTTTATTGGGACTAGAGGGCTCACGACCAACCAAATAGTACATAAAACTTGAATAAAGTTGTTCATTTACTTGTTCATTTACTTGTCATATTTCTTGATATATTAAAAGCCCTAATCTTCTGTGATGCAAAAAAAAAAAAAAAGACAGCAAAGACATAGTAATGAGGGATGAAATTTTCCAGTTATCTTTTCATGTGTTTTTTAATAATTAATATTTATTCCTAAAAAAAAATTGTTTCCTTATGTGATGCAATAAAAAAAACAATGTTATTAATTGGCTCATAGTAGGAGAGATTGGGCACACTGGATGGAGGTTGAGGCCTACCTAGAGGTCCCACCACAGCCCCAACCCATCTAGTGACATACCCTGGAACCCAGAGTGTTCCAGAGTAGGACAATTTGGAACACTCAACAACAACAACAATAATAATAACAATGATAATAACAAACAATAATGAAAATATTGCTGATGAATACCATGTACGAGTAACTGTTAGGAAAAAATACCAGAACTATGTGTGTGTGTGTGTGTATGTGTGTGTGTGTGTGTGTGTGTGTGTGTGTGTGTGTGTGTGT